TTTCACGATCTTCCCGCCGGGCGTGATGCGCGACCTCATGGGTCGATGGCGCAAGATCACAGGCCGAGAGTGCGGGCGAGGATCAGATCTGACGGATAAGCCGATGAAGCCCAAGAAGGGCGACTGATCCATGCTGCTGCCCAGACTGTCGCGGTTTTTCATCGCGACCTTGCCTACGTAAGTCCGCATTGCTGTTCCAGATTTCACACCTGGTGAAAAGATTTCCACGTAATCCGCATTTCAGAAGCTTCAGTTCAGTGTGCACAGTTTTTGATGTGATGACGATCGCACCCATTCAGATGGCTCTTTTGAGTTCTGTCGCCTCTCGATCGGACTCTAGCCATGCCTTGTCTTTGATTATAGCGCCGGCGGCGCTGAGAGCTGTGAATACCCTGCAGGCCGCGTGTAGCGCATCCGCTTAAGTGCCCCGTGGGCTGCCTGCGATTGCAAGCCGTGTCGAGGCGTTTGCTCGCCTTCTGCCAGCGCGCCTGGCCTCCGCCAAATGAAATTAGCGCCAGGCTTATATGCCCGGCTGCTCATGGCGCATCGTGTGCGCCCGCCCGCTGCTTTTGAACACCGTGCAGGAGGAGTGTGATTCCAGAAGACTCGCTGCTCTTCTCACTCGCTCTCTGCTGTTGCTGCTCAGCTGTCCAGGGTCTCTCTGCCGCCGCCCGTTTTGGCACTAATAATTTTAGGGCCCTTGGCCGATTGAGCTACGATCCGCTCTGCGAGCGTTTCCAAAACGATAGATCCGCGATCTTTCCATATCACAAGCTGCAGATGCGCCCCGCTAGGCCCGGATCGTCTGCGGTCCGAGCTGTTGCGCGCGCGCGCTCTCTCTCTCTCTCTCTGTTTCTTTCTCCCGCTCTCATTGTTTCTTTCCGCGACCGCGAATGTACTGCGTGGTTCGGTGCCGAGCAAAACGAGAAGGGATGTCGGGGAGGAAAGAATGGAATGTCGAGTACTGTGGTGATGATGCTGATGCTGATGATGTGGGTGATGCGGATGACGATGATGATGATGATGCTGACGATGATGATGATGCTGATGCTGATGATGATGATCATGCTGGTGATGATGATGATGATGATGATGATGGTGGTGGTGGTGGTGGTGTTGGAATGGTGATGGTGGTGGTGGTGGTGGAAGGGTGGTGGTGGTGGTGATGGTGGTGATGATGATGCTGATGATGATGATGATGATGCTGGTGATGGTGATGGTGATGGTAATCATGATGATTCTGATGATGATGATGCTGATGATGATGATGCTGCTGATGCTGATGACGATGACGATGACGATGACGATGATGATGCTGGTGATGATGATGGTGGTGCTGATGATGATGATGATGGTGGTGGTGGTGGTGGCGGTGGTGGTGGTGGGTGGTTGTGGTGGACGATTCTGGACAACACGCTCAACCAATGAACGCCGCACCACGACCGCGCAACATCGTCGGAAGCTGTCGTGTATGCTGCTGCAGATGATGATGCCGATAGCAATGGCTGGTGCGGATGACGATGACGATCATGATTTTGTTGACGTTGATACAGGCGCTGATGATGAGGATGAGGTTGATCATCATAGTGATGCGGATGCTGATGATGATGATGATGCTGCGGATGATGATGACGATGTCGTCGCAGGTGATGGTGATGATATTGAGTATGATGTGTATGATGATGGTCCTAGTGCTGGTAAGGACTGTGAGGCTGTTGCGATTGATGGGTCTAGTTATGCCCAAGGTGTTACGAGGATGACGCCGACGACCGTTCGAATTACCACGACAACTTGCGCCATGATGATGTTGATGGCGGGAATGTCGATTACCACGACGACGATGCCGACGCCGACGACGACGACAACGACGATGATGACGATGACTGTGATGGCGATGATGCTGATGACGATGATGACCGTGACTACGATGATCGATATGCTGATGCTGATGGTGGCGTTGTTGCTGCTGCTGTTGTTGGTGACGATGATGATGACGATGACGATGGCGATGCTCATGATGATGATGATGATGATGATGATGATGATGATGATGATTATGATTATGATTATGATTATGATGATGATGTGACGATGATGATGATGATGATGATGATGATGATGATGATGATGATGATGATGATGATGATGATTATGATGATGATGATGATGATGATGATGATGATGATGATGATGATGTGATGACGATGATGATGATGATGATGATGATGATGATGGTGGTGGTGAGGATGCTGATGCTGATGGTCATGCTACTGCTGCTGTCGCTGCTGCTGACGGCGGCGATGGCGATGATCTTGATGACGACGACAACGACGACGACGATGACGATGATAACGATGATAACGACGACGATAATGATGATGGTGAGGAAGAGCAGGAGGATGCTGATAATGATGATGATCATGCGGATGCTGCTGTTGATGATGATGGTGATGATCATGATGATGCTGGTGATGATATGATGCTGCTGCTGATGATGATG